TGCTGTGAGGCGACAGTGCTAACCATTGAGCCACCGTGCTACCCTATAAGACAATACCATAGAATTAAAAGAAAAAAGCATGCTCATACGTTAAACAATTTTGACATTTTATTTGCCTTAGAGTTAAAGGCTGATTTATACTTCTGCGTCAAACACCGGCGTATGCTACGGCGCTGACGCATAGCCCTTTGCCGTGGCCGTCGCCGTCACTGACGTGCACCTCTCAAAAAATGTAACTACACGTCGCAACGACGCGTAGCGTAAGCTCTGTGATTGGTCGGCTTGGTAGCGCTGACGAGTCTGGGGGGGACCGAGAGCCGCGCGAATGGCGCGAGCGATTGTTTACAAGTGTGGAGTCCCGTGAAGGAGCTCTGGATGGAAAGTTTTGTTTTGTGTTTACCTCATAGTTAAAGTTGTTGCACGTCCGCCGGTTCCTGCCTCAAAATGAGCAAGTTTGAGTCACTTGTACATCCAGGAATTGTTTAGGAAAACCAAAACAGAAGTAAAAAAACTCGACACAGAGGAACATTTACACCTCACTGCCAACTAGCGTTTCGGAAGTGTTAATGCAGACTAACAGAGACAGCGCGCAGAAGTATAAATGCACAGCTGCGCGCGTTGCCTGCGCCGTGAGTTACGCCGGTCACTTGACGCAGAAGTATAAACCAGGCTTTTGTTGGAGTGCAGTAAGTGCATTATTCTGTGCTTCTGAATGGCTGTACTTAAATTACTCTCGTGCTTCGTCTGGTGCAAACAGCCAAATTGCTTATCACTGCGAATTTCATCACGTAGTGTGTTGTTAGGACAAAGGGTTACAAAGTGACCTGCTCATCTAATGCTATGTTCGTAATATTTATATAATTTGCTAATTAATAACCACCTCATGTGGAACTCTGAATCTGCGTCTCTTTTTGGAGTCTGCTACTGTCCACCGTAGGTCATGCACGCACACTTTGAGAGTCTTACTGACTCAAAAAATGAAATATGAGGTTTTCCACCAAGGCAACCCGTGGTGCTGAAAAATAATTGGCTAAACTGGCATTGGGCGGGTTAAATGAACCAAAACAAAAACAGCCATTTTGGCAAGTAACGCACATTTTTAAAGCAGTATATCTGACCTGCATTGTTTTTCAGATAAACAAGAATGTTCACTTAGCATGTTTCTTAAATATCTGCAAACATAATATGGTATTTTATGCTTTACAAGAGACAAAATACATACATACAGCACCCTTATCATTATAAACAATGACACCTTGTGTTCACTGCTTTTTAAATATGAAACAAACCACAACAGATATTGTTGTGATATATTATACTCTTTTTTTTAATTATAACATTAAAATGTTATGGTTTATGGTACAAAATGCGTTTTTCAGATGCAGGAAAACTGCTCCAACTTTGAGTCCATTCTCAAGTGATTGCATAATGTTTTCTAATAATAAGCTAGTAGCTGTTTGTGTTGAATGGTTTTGTCTTTCCACATACTGACATTTTTAACATTTTTGGCTTCTGTTCCTTGCTCTCACTCTCTCTTTCTCTCTCTCTTTTTAAATCTCAGTTCCACGTTGCTCTATTTTTACATCTGGTCTGCTTCATGAGAACATTCCAGGCCCGAATCTCTAATAAAGCACATCCTCAGGCATTAAAGTGTTAGAAAGACATGAAATGTTTAGAGGAATTTATGGCAGGCGGGCCCCTGTGCTATCAAAGGGATCCCCCCCCAAATAAAAGGCTCAACTACTTGCGTATGCTGATGCGATGGAGATAAACAGTAATCTATTGCAGAGAGATTTGCATGTGAGAACTCTGTTGTGGTGCAAAGTCAGGATTGAAAAGCTGGAATGTTGGCTCAGGTTTTGGCCCTAAAGCTGAAGGATGTCTCTGTGCTTGTAATAATGCGGCTATTTCAGGACGTTTCATTTGCTTTCGTCTTAAAAATATGTGCTTGCCTTTAAATGTTGTTATTACATGTTGTGCTAGTATTGGTTACATCAGTGAGGGTGTGTTTTGAGTTCATTGTGTACATCTTTCGTGCAGTACTTGCATAAAAGGGCGAGAAGAGATTTAATAAAACTGAATCATTTGTTGATTGGATGCGTTCACACTGTAAAAAAACATGTTAAAAAAAGGGCTATGCAAGTATTTAAATGACAAAACCGTTTAAATATTTGGAATCAGTATTCTAAAAAAATGCTGAAACCCAAATATGGTTTTCAGTAATCTTTTAATTATTTTTTTAACAGTTGGGTTTGTCCATTCCTTCATTCATTTTCCTTCGGCTTAGTCCCTTATAGATCAGTGATCGCCACAGCTGAATGAACTTATAACTATTCCAGCATATGTTTCACACGGCGGATGTCCTTCCAGCCACAACCCAGTACTGGGAAACACCAATACACACTCATTTACACACAATATGGCCAACTTCATTCATTCAGTTTCTTTTCGGCTTAATCCCTTTATTAATCTGGGGTCGCCACAGCAGAATGAACCACCAACTTATACAGCATATGTTTTATGCAGCGGGTGCCCTTCCATGCCGCCGGGTTTTTACATGTTTGACCTAAAATTTGTTTAAAGAATCTAACATGGTTTAAAGTTTTGAAAGAGTGTAAAATGAATGTTATTGTATAACTTTTCATTTAACTACTGGATATAATAATTTTATGTGCTTAATGGTTGCGTTTAGAATATGGGTTAGGTTTAGGGTTAGCTGCTTGTTATTATTATGCATAATTAAATGTAATCGTTTACTAGTTAGTGTGTGTAACAGAAATCTTAAAAATAAAATGTTACAGAAATGAAAACTTTTGCTCAGTGACACTAAAGGTATTTCTATTAAAAAGTTGTTTAAGACATTTATTTCAGTATAATAATGCACCTGGCGGCACGGTGGCTCATTGGTTAGCACTAGTTTGACAACAGAAGCATAAAAATATTTCTGAAATATTTGTTTATAAAGTTGTAGAAAAATAGGATTTGGCTGTGTAAATGGGAATTATACACATTTAAAAGGTTGAGAATGAAACTGTTTTGATGTCTTATATATGCTAATTAGTGCATTACATCATCTAGTGATATTTCAGACAGGCTTTAGCTGTACTATTACAGCAATATTACATTACATTATGTTACATGATTAAATAAACCAATCCTCAAAATGAAACGCTGTACATTTACAAAATGCTAAAAACACCTGTCTTAATGTACCCTGATCAGTAATAAATTAAAAACAGAACACACTTTTAGACTACTATTATTAAAATAAATATCATTATTTGAGGAAAATAACAGTATAATGCAAAATATTTAAAAGGATAATTCAGTTTTGTAACAACAAAATGACAACCCAAGTGCTGATTTTGGTTATATAAAGAGATTGTCAAGCTCTTTAAAGAGCCCAAAGTTTCTGAGACTTTTATTTCAGTATGTTGATCCACTTCCAGCTGAAATGGAATATTAAGTTGGGGGCGGGGCTTTCTTTTTGCACAATCAAGATGGGCATAGACATACATACAGTTATTAGCCCCTTTGAATTATTAAATTTTTTTTGTAAATATTTCCCAAATGATGTTTAGCAAAGCAAGGAAATTTTCACAGTATGTCTGATAAGGTTTTTTCTTCTGGAGAAAGTCTTATTTGTTTTATTTCGACTAGACTAAAAACAGATTTAAAATTTTTTAAAAAACATTTTAGGGACAATATTATTAGCCCCTTTAAGCTCTATTTTGTTCAATAGTCTACAGTACAAACCATCGTTAAACAATAACTTGTTTAATTACCCTAACCTGCCTAGTTAACCTAATTAACCTAGTTAAGTGTTTAAATGTTACTTTAAGCTGTATAGAAGTGTCTTGAAAAATATCTAGTAAGATATCTAACTCACAATATAATACTAACTCACAATATTAAGTTATTGTGAGTTAGTAAGGCCTAGAATTATTTGTATTTTTTATTTTTATATATTTATTTTATATTTTATTTTTTGTTTTTGTACTTCTAAGTAGTTTGATTATGCTTTTCATATTTTTTGTAAACCTCTGGCATTGTTTTGTATGTGTCGTTCTTGCATTAAAAAAAAAAGAGAGAAATCTTCGCAAACCGCATGAAACCAACCAAAACCACCAGCTAAAGATTTCAGTTAAGAATGAAGAATGGGCATGGTTAAGAATATTGTGGCTGAACCTGTCAAACTGTCGTCAATAAAGAAGGATTACCACTCCAAATGTGAAAACAAATGCTCGAATTTGATTGAAGATTACCAAAATAAACTTTGTTTTTCAGTGGATTAACGTGCACTGAGGAATCACTCACCTAAAGAATAAATATCTTCGCTAGCAGAATAAACATCGTAAATTTTTATATCATACAAACATTAATATCTGCGTGTAAAAGGCAGTGTATCACCAGCCTGATCTCACGAGGAAAAGTAACTATCTTACGTTTTATCAGTTTAGTAGCTAATATGAATTCTAATGAGTTTAGTCGTATGAATGTGTGGTTTAAAAAGGAGGCGTGGCACCAGAACCCACCCCTAAACCCAATCATCATTGGGGGATAAGCAAATCATACCACATGTAAATTGTACAAATAAGATCTTACAAATTCATACGAATTGGCCACTAAGAAGTTACGAATTGCCATGAGATTGTGTTGGTATCTCCAAACATATTGTTCAAGAACTTTCCACAAGGGTCAAGTTCAACTACTAATACTATCTCCAAACATATTGTTCAAGAACTTTCCACAAGGGTCAAGTTCAACTACTAAAATGCGTCATTGGAACAAAATGAAAATAATCTGCTTCATATTCTCAATAAATACCCCGCTTTGAAGTCTAGTTATGAACACACAATAGGATTGAAAGCAAACACCTTGACCTGACTGAAAAATACAAAAGCCTCTGACTGTTCTGTAATCAGTCTTTGTCTCCTCCTGATGCCATCAGAATGACAGACGTGGCAGTATTCTTAGAAAGGGTGTGAGCGCGTTCATACCTTTCTTTTTCCGGAGCTTTTCCTTTTTGATCTCCCCCTTGCTCTCCTGCTCCTCCCGCTCCTTCCAGCGCCGGACTTGCTCCTCTCTCATTTTGAAGAACAGGATCTTCTTCTGCTCTTCATTCAAGGCTTCTAGTACATCAGGGTCAATGTACATGTCGGCCAGGATTTGCTGCAGCATGCTGCTTGTTTGTATGTGTGTGTTGTAGGTTTCTGAAAAAATGTGCTGATGAAAATCTTTCTCTGCTCCTTTTTGGAATTCTTATCGCCCTTTCTTCACACAAAAGCCCTTTCTATCTTGTTGGCATTGGCATTTTAGATCCTGCTGGTTCTGTCCCACACTGTGGCCATGTAATTCCAGTCTGGAAGAAAGAGAAGGAGAAAAAGAGGATTTATTTCTGTTTCTGTTGCCTTTTTTTTTTTGCTCAGTCACCTTATATGGCCGTCTACTTTATATCTCTGTGTTTATTCATCCTGATTTTACTCGTAAAACTACAAAGCTTCCCACTCTAATTTCCTCTTTCTGGAGGAAGTGAGCAGTTTTATTGCTCTTTTTAAGCTTATTGAGGCTTAATGAAGCTCCTGTTTTGTTTCGAGTGGTTTTTTCTTCACTGTAAAAATGTGACAAAACGAACGTAATGGCGACAAATATTTTTATGTTAATTTAACTTAAATTTGATTAAGTTAATCAGGTTTTTGTTTGCACTTTATTTTAATGTACTCTTCTTATAATTAATTAACCATTAACTAACCTTTAGCTCATGCTTATTATTACATTAATAATATTATTTATAATTAATTATAATTATTATTACATTATTTAGTAATTATTAATTAGCTGCTGCTTACTGTATTAATAGCAGTGGTGTAAAGTAAGTAATTACTAACTAAAAACAGCCATATCACCCTGCAGCCAAAGACCGGTTACTCACTGAAGCTAAGCAGGGCTGAGCCTGGTTAGTACCTGGATGGGAGACCACTAGGGAACACTAGGTTGCTGTTGGAAGTGGTGTTAGTGAGGCCAGCAGGGGGCGCTCAACCCGTGGTCTGTGTGAGTCCTAATGCCCCAGTAAAAGTGAAGGGGACACTATACTGTCAGTGGGCGCCGTCTTTCGGATGAGACGTTAAACCGAGGTCCTGACTCTCTGTGGTCATTAAAAATCCCATGGCACTTCTCGTGAAAGAGCAGGGGTGTAACCCCGGTGTCCTGGCCAAAGTCCCTCTATCGGCCCTTACGATCATGGCCTCCCAATCATCCCCATCCACCGAATTGGCTCGATCACTGTCTCTCCACTCCACCAATAGCTGGTGTGTGGTGAGCGCACTGGCGCCGTTGTCCTGTGGCAGCCGTCGCATCATCCAAGTGGATGCTGCACACTGGTGGTAATGTGGAGAGACCCCCCTCATGATTGTGAAGCGCTTTGGGTGTACGGCCATACACAATAAATGCGCTATATAAATACACATTACATTACATTACATTACATAATTACAAATGCTCAAATTACTGAAATTAGTTACTTCTTCTCAGGAATTGTAATTTACTGAGTAGTTTTAAAAATGTGTACTTTTACTCTCACTTGAGTACATTTTTAGTGCAGTATCTGTACTTTTACTCCACTACTTTCCTTCAACCTGCAGTCACTACTTTATTTTTTCTTGTCTATGGGGATTAGAAAAATCAGTCCTGTAATTCCCGTCCAATCAAATCACACAAAGAAGGTAAATCGCTTCATAATGAACTACCTTAAGACATGGGCGATTTATAAATGCAGCAAACTGTTTGGAAGCATTAAAAGTGTCCAAGAAGATGTCCAAAATCTTTACACGCGTTGACCCAGAGACTGTTTAGATGCATGTCACTGACGAGAAGATGACAGATGTTTACTGTATGGGGACCGAAATGGCCTTAAACACCCAACAAGCACAAGACATCAACATGACGTCAGATTGACGTACCCCAATGTCGTGGGGACGTTGCATTTTGTTTGGTATTCACTACGATCTTCTATGTAAAGCTGCTTTGACACAATTTACATTGTAAAAGTGCTATACAAATAAAGAGGAATTTAATTGAAATAAAAATCAGGTTGACGTCAGAACTCAATGTCAGACCAACTTCAATGTCCAAAAAACCAAGCAAATATCAATGTCTAATGATGTCACAGCTTGAAGTTGTGTGAACGTTACCACTATGACATCTATCAGATGTTGGATTTTGGTTGCCATACCTGATGAATAAATATCAGTATTTGACATCAATATGATGTTGGTTTAAGAGGTTGGCTTGACGTTGGATTCTGGTCACTTTCTAACAACCTAAAATCAACCAAATATCAACGTCATTTAACGTTGTTATTAGACATCAAAATAGCGTTATCCTTAGATGCTGGCTAGACACTGAATTTTGGTCACTTGACATTACAACCTAAATCTAACCTAATATCAACGTCCTATGACGATGTGTGCCTGCTGGGCAATAACTAAATGCACTACAGAATGTTACGTTTACACACATCCACAAATTACATGTAAATGCATCAGATTTTCACAGCTTAGTACTCACTACTCACTTCTCTTGAGTACTTTTAAAAGGGCTACTTTTACTCATACTTTGAGTAATTTTTACAGCAGACACTTTTACTCTAATTGCACTACATTTTTAGGCAAGTAATGGTACTTTTACTTGAGTATGATTTTTCAGTACTCTTTCCACCACTGATTAATAGGTAGTTGGGTTTAGGTATTGGGTAGGATTAGGAAATAAGATTTTGGACTTTATGTGTACTAATAAACAACCAGTATTTTATGAATAGACAGGTAATTAAAAAAAAGTGATTACAGTTTGCAGAAGTATAAACAATTATGTCAAATTACAGTTCAGACAAACTTACATTAACATGTTTACTTACTTTAGTTTTAAGTAAATTCAACCTATTGCTTTTAGGGCAATGGGTTTACTCACTAATAGTGAGAATTGGTGCAGATTCAATTTTACCATATTAACTTAATATTTTTAGTTAGTTTGATTGATTTTAAGCTGAGAGTACTACACTGTAAAACCCAACAGTCAATGAAATGAGTGTAGTTGGCTCAAAATTGACTGAAAGTTAATTCTACTCATATAAAAAGAGTTTTGAACTCTTAATGTTAATTAAATACCTCATTACTTCAACTTAAACGGTGTAAGTTCACAGTACTCATATAGATTATATTTTTAACTCAAATGGTTTGTTGGTTTCCTCAAATGGTTTGAGTTACCTGAACTTTTTGGGTTTTACAGTGTAGAAAGGTTAATTTGATCCAACTAGAAAGTTTGAGACAGGAAAAATTATTTTACAGGAAGACATTTAAAAAGACATTTTGACTCACAGAAATGAAAAATCTCAATTTAAATGTCTTAGATTTTTGGTTGTTAAACTACAAATAATAAATTTTCTCTAAATCAACTTCTCAGCCTCAATTAAAACAAAATATCTTAAATACTGAAATTATTTTCATTTAGATTTTTAAGTGGAACAGTGCTTTCAACTACTGACAAAACATATCTGAACAAAACAAAACATATGCTATTTTACTGTTTATTTAGACAACAAGCAATCTTTTATGGGGGTTGAGAATGTAAACTTCTGAAGCTATAACTTATACCGACTGTATTAGTATACTTCTTTATACAGAGTGACATTGCTAACTGGCTAACTTATTAGCTGCTAACTTATCAGCTTTTCGGTGAAATTCGACTTTTTTAAAAATATTTCAGTCATTGAACAACAGTGGATTGTTCTGTGGCCAATCAAAAAACAAAAGAAGATTTCTTAAAGTGGCTAATAATATTGACAGTTTTGCATAAAAATAAAAAAAAAACACTTTTTGTTTCCAGACTGTCTCCAGAAAAAAATATAATAGGAAAATCAAATACTGTGAAAAGTTTCCTCACTTTCTTACAATCCAAATTTCACAAGAGGGTATGACACCTTTTCAGCGGCTGAATTGAGGCCAGTGGAGAAACTTTTAAACACTGTTGTTAGCAGTCCTGATTGAGGCAGTGTTAAATGTCTTTTCTAAAGCACTAGAGGACACACTTAAAGGAAACACTCCATTTTATTTTAAATAGGTTCATTTTACAAGTCCCCTAGAGTTTTTTGAATTCATTCAGCCAATCTACTGGTCTGGCAGAAGCACTATTAGCTTAGCTTAGCATAAATCATTAAATCGGATTAGATCATTAGCATCTCACTCAAACAAAATATTTTGATATTTGAATATTGATATCCTTCTATTTAAAGCTTGACTAATCTATACACTGTAAAAAATTATATGATCAATTAGTCCTGGCAGCATCTGTTTTCAGGTAATTGCAACTTCATTTTATACATTATGCATGTCAGTTTAACATAATATAAGTTCACTGGACTTATAAGGTTAATTTGATTCAGCTTAAACATTTAAGGCAACCAGGATTTTTTTTTACAGTGTAGTTACATTATATGTACTAAGACCAATAAAAAAGAATTTTCTAGGACACGGTACAGCAGCAAAGTTTCTTTATTATTATGTCACAATGAGTATAGCTCCTTCTATATTGACCTGAAAAATAGCAACAGTCAATCTTAGTACACAATGTACCTACAAAATAGAATAGTCAAGCTTTAAAAAGGAAAATTATTATATCACTTTTTTAAATGTTTTGAGCAACATGCTAATGGTCTAATCTAATTCAATGATTTATGCTAAGCTAAGCTAATAATGTCCCCGCTAGACCTGAAAATCGTCTGAATGGATTCAAACATGGTAAAACTCAACTCTTTAACTCTAGGGGACTTGTAAAATAAGTCTATTTCCAAAAAAAGTGAAGTGTTCCTTTAAGGTGACTACATTTATCTTTTTCTATTATTATTACGTCACAATGAGAATATAGTTCTTTCTATATCAACCTGCAAAATATCAACGTTTTAGTACATGATGTAACTACACAATAGTCAAGCTGTAAATTGGAAAATGATCAAACCTCTTGAGATTTTTTGAGTGACATGCTAATGGTCTAATCTGATTCAATGATCTATGCTAAGCTAAGCTAAAAGTGCTCTCGCCAGACTCAAAGATTGACTGAATGGATAAAAAATGGTAAAACTAAACTCTTTAACTCTAGGGGACTTGTAAAATAAGTCTTTAAAAAAAAAAAGTGAAGCGTTCCTTCAAGGTGACTGCTTTTATTCATTGCTGTCTATTTTTTTATATGTGATTTTATTTCCTGCTGTGTTTCAAGGAAGGATTGTTGAGACAAATGTTCCTCAGAGCAGCTGTGAGTTTTCACATTCCGAGTCTGTGATCCAGCCGGCTGTTCTGTTTGATTCCAGATCTCTCTTTCTCTCTCTCTGTCTGTTGACTTTAGCAGAACCAGCATCAACATTTGACTTTATTTAGCTGAGTTTCTCATTCAGTCCCGCAGCGTCCCGTCAGTGTTTACACAGATTACTACAGCGTTTCACTGCTTAACCACCTCTCCGTTTCCTTTATTTCCTCCCAGCCAGAAATTAATCCTACTCCGCTACAGCATTTCACAAACAAAGAGCCTCTCTGTATTCAAAACCAATCATGCACCAGGTCAGACATGTTTCGCCACCAGACAACTAACAAAAGCCATTCAAAACCAACAAAGGAGTGCTAAATTAATAAACATCTGCACTTTTTTTTCATTTTTAATCACAACCGCTCAGTTTACACAAGCAATACCAACAATCTGCGCTTCAAACTAGTTGAAATATCATGTTAAGATTAAACAAAGACTCAAAAGTTGAGCAACTAAAAGAAACAAAGCAAGACTCTGGAATAAAACACTCTCTGTTGTTTGAGACAGAGAGAAGATAGAGATAAAGAGAGAATGAAGACAAAGAGACGCTGCTGAAGTGGCTGAGAAAGAGAAATGTACTCACATTCAGAGCTGGAGAAGTGTGCTGTGGAGTTGTTGGTGAAACGGCATGTGTGTGTGAATGTGTGTGCGTGTGTGTGTGTGTGTTTCTCTCGGCTGCTTTGTATTTGAGAGCTCTGGTGTGACATCATAGCATTCTTTCTCCCTCCCTCTCTCTTTTCTCCTCCTTCTCGCAGACTTGCTCCCTCAAACTCTCCTCCCTCTGTTTTCTGTGAGCCTCATTGGCATGACAAAAACAGCTACATTTGAATGGTCAAATCAGTTTGACTGAAGTTGATGTGGGAAATAGTAAAAGGTTTAAGTTAATGCATTAGGTCTTTAATTTTTAATGTTAATTTATGTATGTGGGTCAAAAGACTGAGATGTCCTATTTAGTGTCTGCATCAAGTAGTATTGATTTATGTCTTGGAAACATGTTATATTCAAGGAGTCTGCTTTAGTGTTAAAAATAATAATAATTTTCCAAACTGCTACGTAATTTACACTGTAAAAAATGCTGGGTTCCACACAATCGATTTGTGTTGGGACAGCATGAATGAATTAAGTTAGCTTATTAGTTTTCACACATTTAAGTGGATTAAATGTAAAACAATTAAGTTATCGTCCCCAAAAAAACCTCAATAGTTGTTTGAGCTCCTTTTAAATTGAACAAACAGTAAACGTCATTTTTTAAGTGTAATAATAGTTTAACCAGAAATCAAAGTGCATTCATTTACTTGCGCTTTATTTGTTTTGTACCTTTATGTTTTACTTTCTTCTGTTGTGTAGAACACATGAGAAGATATTTTGAATATATGTTGGAAACCTGTAACCATTGACTTCCATAGTATTTTTTTTTTTCTAGTCAAAGGTTATAGGTTTTATAGAATTAGTGTTCTGCAGAAGAAGGAAATCGTAAAGGGTTGGAACTACTTTAGAGTGAGTAAGTAACAAATACATTTTCATATTTGAAGAAACTAATACTTTAAAAGGAGGACTTATTGTCTTTTCATTCATTTTTCTTTGGCTTAGTCCCTTATTTATCAGGGGTCGCCACCGCCAACTTTTCCAGCATATACTTTATGCAGCGGATGCCTTTCCAGCTGCAACTCAGTACTGGTAAACACCCATACACTCTTACATTCACACCCACTCATACAACTACGGCCAATTTGTTTCCTTAATTTTTATTCTGCATGTCTTTGGACTGTGGGGAAAAACCAGAGCACCTGGAGAAAATCCATGTGAACATGGGGAGTACATGCAAACTCCACACAGAAATGCCAACTGGGCCAGCCGGGACTCGAACCAGCAACCTTCTTGCTGTGAGGCGACAGTGTTACCCACTGAGCCACCATGCAGCCCTTATTACTTTTTATTGGACTTGTTCTATAATAATAATAATAATAATAATAATAATAATAATAATAATAATAATAATTCCTTACATTTATATAGTGCTTTTCTGGGAACTCAAAGCGCTTTACACATAAGGGGGAATCTCCTCATCCACCACCAGTGTGCAGCATCCACCTGGATGACGCGACAGCAGCCATTTTGCGCCAGGCCGCACACCACACATCAGCTGATTGGTGGAGAGGACACAGAGATGAAGCCAATTCTGATATGGGGAAGATTAGGAGGTTATGATGGACAGAGGCCAGTGGGCAGATTTGGCCAGGATGCCGGGGTTAAACCCTCTCCTCTTTTTCAAAAGACATCCTGGGATTATTAATGACCACAGAAAGTCAGGACCTCAGTTTAACGTCTCATCTGAAAGACGCCGCTTGCTGGTTCACTCGGCAAATCCCCGTCACTAGACTGGGGCGTTTGGACCCACACAGACCGCAGGTTGGAGACCCCCTGCTGGCCTCACTAACATCACTTCCGACAGCAACCTAGCTTTCACATGTGGTCTCCTATCCAGGTACTGAGAGTTGCAGAGAGCTAGCTGCCGGATGTTTCGGATTATTCTACTACTACACTGTAAAAAAATTAACTCCATTGAATTCCATTAAACTTACATTATGTTAAACTGACTTTAAACAGCCTGCGTAACTTCAAATAATGGTGTGAAGTCACTCAAATGAAGTTGGAACATGATTAACTTTACAATGAACTGAAAACTTATGCTGTCATAACTAACTGATCATGTATTTTTTTACAGTGTAATTTTCAGATTTGTAACTTTTACATTTTTATTTTGCAATTTTAATACTTATTTTGCTACTTCTATTTATTTACTTATTTTATTCTTATAGTCCCTCCAGGTGCTCCGGTTTCCCCCACAGTCTAAAGACATGGGGTTAAGGTAAATTAATAAACTAAATTGGCCGTAGTGTATGTCTGTGAATGAGTGTGTATGGATGTTTCCCAATACTGGGTTAAAGCTGGAAGAGCATCCGCTGCATAAAACATATGCTGAAATAGTTGCCGGTTCATTCCGCTGTGGCAACCCATGATGAATAAAGGGACTAAGCTAAAGGAAGATGAATGAATTGTACTTACTCATTTTCAGGAATATAACTTAAATGAAATTCCAATGATTACTCTAGGTGACACAGTGGCGCTGTAGGTAGTGCTGTTGCCTCACAGCGAGAAGTTTGCTGGTTCGAGCCTGTGTGTAATTTGCATGATCTCCCTGCGTTTGCGTGGGTTTCCTCCGGGTGCTCCGGTTTACCCCACAGTCCAAAGACATGCGGTACAGGTAAATTAGGTAGCCTAAATTTTCCGTAGTGTATAAGTGTGAATGAGTGTGTGTGTGGATGTTTCCCAGAGAAGGGTTGTGGCTGGAAGGGCAACCAGCGACCTTCTTGCTGTAAGGCGACAGCACTACCTACTGCCCTACCGCGTCGCCTAAGTTTAATTAATCTACGCCAAATATAATTTAATTTACAGTAGCTAAAACCTTTTGATTTGTATAATGTATTAAGGGCTAAAATTACCATGAGATTTAATAAATGTATAATAAATCAAATTTGATATCAACCAGTGTAGATACCTTTTGCTTATTGTAAAGTGTTACATAAAACCTTGTTTTCAAGCTAAGAAAATAGTTAATAATACAGTAAAAAAGCTAAAATATTCATGAATTTCATCGATAATTAAATAAATATCACTCAGAAATGAACATGTTTACTTGTAACGTTCAAAGTTTGCCTTGTTTAAAATATGTACAAAGCATTTATTCATGTAAATCTGTCATGTGAAGTTAAAGAGTACTTAAAGAGCAGTAACGCAAGTGTTTGTGTCTGTCTGAAAGCTCTTTGTGTGTGTGTGTTTTGTTAAATTCCACATTCTCCAGTCTATGACATCATAACTGAACTTTACACTCACAGATGTATTCAGGTATACATTGAGCGTATGACGCGAAAAACTCATTTTTTCTCTCTCCAGATGACGCGTTTCAGTGATTGAGTGAAGCCTATAGATAGACTTTTGAACAGTAATTATAGTCATTAGCGCATAGAGAGACACTGTTGACTTCTTATCTGTTATCTAGAGCTACATGAGACACACTTGAGTTTACGACACTGTGTTTCATTGCTTTCCTGTCTGAGAGATGATTCATGTATTACACTGAATCGTAGTATGTGTTTTCTTTTCAGTGGGGTTTTGGGACAAACTTATTTCCTTTAACAACCAAAAATATATTGATGTTAATAATTACATAGTGATTGTGTTCACACTGTAAAATGTATCTGTTGGTGCATCTGTTAATTAATAATTTATAGTGGTATTTTGGGATTTAAAGGGGATTCACAGTTTAATAAATTAACATTTTTAATAGCTCAATAAGAAATGATAATAAATATAGGAATGTTTAAAATATGAAAAAAATATGATAAAATATGAGGAACTGATATTTATCAGTTTTTTTTACACAAATATGGGAAAATATGAGGAAATCATCAAAAAAAATGTATATATATGAGGAACGTTCGAGGTTACTAAAGTAACCCTTCGTTCCCCGAGGAGGGGAACGGAAGCACTATAAGTGGATTTGATTGTAAAATCCACGCATTGGGAGGTTCGGTTCAGAAGCTACTCGTCTGAAAGAGTATTGAACGGGCCAATTAAGAATGAATTGGCAGCGCAAGCCTGCGCAGGTGAGCGGCATAAGCAATCAACTGAGTATATAAGCTCACCTGGCGCAGCAGACGCTATCCTTTTTAAGCTGAAGAGACTTTCAACAGCTAAGGGACAGTCATTATGGCGACGGAGTATAGTGCTTCCGTTCCCCTCCTCGGGGAACGAAGGGTTACTTTAGTAACCTCGAACGTTCCCCTTCGGGGGGAACTTCAGCACTATAAGTGGATTTGATTGTAAAATCCACGCATTGGGAGCCCATTGAAAGCGCCATAATGACTGCACCTTACCAACACCCCCGATGAGGAGATAGTCAAGCAAGCGTGACGCACCCACATCATGGGGGGCGCGGTCCTCCAACGTGTCCCTGGCCCTAATTTATCCTACTTCAACAGAAGTTTTACGGATTTATATATATTTTTTGGGGTGTCGTGAGCATCTAGATAATTCTAGGAAATACGACAGTACGTTGGGAAGCGTGCAATCCCGATAGGGAGGACGCTGCGGAGGCCATCCGTTACCCAAGGGGGGATAGATGGCAGAATTTACATATGGACTAGCCCTAAAAAGGGGGAGTACGCATAGCAAAAGAGTGGTTAGCGGGGAGGGAAGACACGGGTCCGCCCAGGGGGGGGGGGACTTAACCGTGGCTGAATAAGCATATGGGATCGCCTAGTGGGGACCACGCATAGCAGACACCTTTACCCAAAACGCGGGCTGACCAGCGGGCAGACCTACAACGTAGTGGGCCAGCAAGTGACTCCTCCGCTGAGTCAGTGCTGGGGGCCACGGAGGAATCTGCAGGGCTCACCTGACGGGGAACTTTACTGACAGATAAAAAGGCGCACGTATCTCCGTGTTAGGGAAAATGGCGCAGCAAGCGTGTTTCAACACCCTACCGAGTTGTTTCCTCAATCACCAAGGGTTACCTAATACCCTTGAGGAAACCGGCTCCACTCGCAGATTGTAAAACCTTGCAAATGTGTTGGGTGTCACCC